GAAGCCTTCTCAGGGGTCCTTCCAGAGAGAACGCTCCAGCCAACAGTGAGGTCTGAGGGGGCGTCAAACAGCCCAGCATGGCCTCCTCATGTGTGCACCACCCCCCTCCCCAAAATCTCTTGTGTGTCAGTTTCCATCCCTTTCCTCCAGGGCTCTCTGGTGCTGAGACTGAGAACTGGCAATAAAAGAATGCCTTCCACTGCCTGGTCTCAGTTTGCTTCCATCACTGAGCTTGCATGCCCTTCCCATCGGCCGACCACTCGGGATCCATTCATTCATGCACACTGTGTGTCCTGCAGGGATGTCCAAGGAGCACTGGCTATGCATGGGACACTGGGCATTTCATATTGCAGTTCATCTTCACGCCAACTCCCATTTTTATAACTGGGAAACAGGAGTCTTACAGAGCCTGAGGAATTAGCTCAACTGTGGTGTTGAGCTAACATGGTGACGGCTCCGAAACCCAGGAGTCTAACTTCAAAGCCTTTGTCCACTACGCTATGCTACTTCTTTTGGAGTCAGGGTCCTATTTGAGACCCTCCTGCCTCCTTGTTTTGGGAAGTAAAGCCAATAACTCAGCTCCGTATTAACGGGAATCTTCCAGGAATGTAGGAGTTAAGGGCTGAATCAAGAATTCGTTCTCATTTCTTCCATCCTTCCTTCTTGAACTGGGGTTCAGGCATCCCAACTCTGCTTCTCGATCAGTCCAGCCTATCAGGAGCCTCCTCTCCCCTCCTTAAAGGTAAATTCCAACTTTCAGCTGCAGCTTCTTAGAACAAGACAGGATATAAACTCTGCGGCAAGCTGAGTGCCCCAGAAACCAGCTGCAAGAACAGCGCCGCTACCCAACGCTTCAAGCGCCTGTCAGTGGTTTCCTAACAAATGGCTTCGCGGAGACCCTCTCTCCTCCAGGTCAGCCGCCGCATGTCCACTCGAGGCTGCCGAAGGCCCGCTCCTGCACTCTTTCCTGCTCTGGAAAACGACACTGAAACCATAATGAGCCTGGAGGAAGTCAACCAGACAGGAAACAAACCCACTTGGGTGTGTGAGCTCCTGGAAGAATTTTGGAAGACCATTCGTCCCCTGGGAAGACGCTCGTTTGCTACAATCGTGGTCAGCCGTTCTTCTCCCTCTTCTTGGTGGGGAGGCAGGTGGGGGCTGATTTCAAAATGCACTTTAAGCTGAGAGGCCAGCTGGGGTGTGGCTCTGAGACGCGACGTGACACGGGCTGGTGGTGACGTCAGACGAGCTTTGGTCAGGATTTCCCGAGGCAAGGGCAGAGCCGATGGACTTTATTTTTAGATGGTATTGATATTTTTAGTGAAAGTCCAAATTGTCTCCGCTTGGGGGGCGGGGGGTGGAGGGAGAGGGGTGATTTCCTGAAGTTAGTCACTTCCTCTCTGCTGGTGAAGAGACTGAGCTGCGCCCCTGTGTCACGGGAAGCGCCGGGTGGCCGTAAACACCGCTGACATCATGGGAGCTCGCCCCGCCGCGGTGTCAGAGTCCACGGATTCCTTCCTGGCCCCTCGGCCAGGTGAGGGGCGATGCTTCCTGTTTTTGGCTCCAGGAGGAACTTTCAACTTCCAAGAGCTGCCTGCAGAATAAATCACCAGGACTGCTGGGGTAAGCAGCCGGGGCCACAGACGCCGGAAAGTGACTTGGTGGCAAAACGTGTTGGCTGTGCCCCGGCAGCTCTGGGAACTGCTGAGTCCTCAGTGCCCTCTTATAAGGTGTGTGTGTGTGTGAAAGCCAAGCGGGTTTGGTTCCAATATCGTAAAGCAATCCTCGTTTTAAACTTGTCAGCCAGAGGGGCCCTTAGTGCCTGGCCCTCATCCATTCCTCCATTCCTACGGCCAGTCCTACTGATTTCACCTCTGAAATCCCTTCTGATTCTGATTGCTCCTCTTTACCTCTGTGATGTCAGTGACGTCCCTCATCCCATGAGAGAATGAGTCAAATCTGCTCTCCCTGATGGCACTCACTTCTGGGAGGCTCCTCCTCCCCAGGGCCGGCAGGGGCAGCATGAGGACACAGCACATCTGTCAGCCTCCCCTTCTCCCTTGTCCCAGTAGACAGTGCTGACCGGTCATGGCACTTCAGTGCTAAGCCCAGACAGGGGTGACCACACAGTCTTTCTTAGCATTGTCCTTCAAGTCCCCACAACCAGCCAGTGGGAACTGGCATTCAACGTAAAGTCAATTGGCCATCTTGGTGCTCATGTTATCTTCCTAAAAATGAAATCCAGTTGTGTCCCTTCCCTGGTGGGAGACTCCTTCTGTCTCCCTAGTGCCATCAAAGTGAATTCAAACTCCTTGGCAGGGTACGCAGGCCTTTGACATCTCCCCTCCCCTCGACCACTCCTGCCGCCCCTACACATGGGCCCCAGGATGCTTCTTACTCTTTCCCAAAGGTACTCTGCTTTTGCCTGATTCTTGGCCTTGCACTCAGTGTTTGTGCTTCCTAGAGTTTCCTTTTTCCTTTCTCCATTCTGCAAACTCTCACTTGTTTCTTCAAACCCTCAATGGTCTTCCTCTGTCGTGTTTCCATGATTCCACTAGGCTAAGTCAGTGCCTCCTCTTCTGTGTTCTCATATGCTTCTGTTTTTACCTCTACTAGAGCATTTGTTGTTGAGATAGATCATGCTGTATGCAGGTTATAATATGCTCTGGTTATAATACAGTCATGCCTCAATCTCCTTAGGCTGGGAGCCCCGTGTATACCAAAAGCCACGGATGTTCAAATCCCATAGACATCCTTCAGTATCCATGGTTCCACATCTTGGATTCAATCAACCACGGATCCTGTAGAACTGTAGGGGGACCTGTACAGTTTAAACCCATGCTGCTCAGTGATCAACTGAAATACGTATTCTAATTATGGCCAGAAATTTGCTTATTCATTCAACATATTTATTGACCACCTTCTATGTGTTGTGTCAACAGTAGGTAAGTTACTCTGCAGACTGGATATTTAAGGAACATTTACTGAATGAACCCTTCCTAATCTAAGCTGCCTTTAGCCTTTGCATCTTTACAGCAGCTTCCTCTAGATCCTAGGAGTCTGTGAGTGGGACTTAATCTTTCCTTAAGTCGTATAGAAAATTGTGAAAATAAGTATTTTTAAAGCTCATTTTTTACAACTGTCAACCTGGATAAATAATTTCACATGAATGTATATATGATTACATGATTTTAATCACATTTCCCCCCCTTTTTGTTCGCCTTTTCCTTCTCACGCCATCCTGTGCATTGGCACCTCTCAGGTGACTAAGCATTCCAGAGTACTTGAGACTGTCCCGATTTTAGCAGTGAAAACCTCACATTCTGGAAAATCCTCCAGTCCCAGGCAAAGCAGGGCAGCTGTTTACTTCCCCCTCTCCGTACCCTGGTATTTCTTCTCTAGGTAATCAATTAATATAAACTGAAGAGTGCTCTTCCATATTTTTCTCTGCATTAATATAGTTCAGGTTTTATAATTATCATATATAATGAGGTTATACATTATATTATATACTATAAGTGCCTCCTCATCCTGACATGCCCATGAAGTAAACCAAGTCAGCTGGTATAGTTCTGTTTCATTCTCTTTATGGCTGTACAATACTCTATGTTGTGGATACTCCATACAATTTTGGCTGCTTTCTTATTGATGGGCATTCATTTTGTTTCCAGTTTTTTTTTCTGCTTTGAACAATGATCTCACATAGACACACACAAATATCCTCATGTATTGGTGCTTTTATTCCTATGAAATAAATTTGCAAGAGTAGAATTGCTGAGTTGAATAGTAAATGTAATTCCAATTTTTATAATTATTGCTAAATTGCTCTTCTAAACAACTATAACGCATCACACTCCTGCCACTATATGTAAGAACACTCTCTCTATTATTACATTCCTACCAGCCCGCGTCACTTGGTGTGATGGTTCTTACTAATTTGTCCATCTGACGGTTATAAAATGGCATAGCATTGTTGCTTTAATTTGCCTTCCCGTAACTACTAGTTAACTGAACATTAAAAAAATGCTTTTGGCCGTTTAGATGTGCTCTTCAGTGATGTGTCTATTTATATCTTTTACTGACTTTTCTATCGTATTGTTTGACTTTTTCTTGACAATGTTAAGAAGATTTTATATGTTATAGATACCAACTGTTTTAAATCTGGTACTTTTTTCCCCAGTTTTGATATTTGCCTGTGATTTTATTTACTGGATCTTTTGCATACAAATCCTCTTGATTTTTATATGTTCAGATACACCTATCCTTTCTTATCTAGCTTCTGAATTTCTAGTCTTGGTTAGGAAGTTCTCCTCAACCCAGAGACTAGATATGTAGTCTCTGATATTTTTTAAACGTTTTGTTTTATGTTTTATGTTGAAGTCTACTATTTTTATCTTGTGCACTTCAGTTGACTCACGGCTGGTTCTTCTTTGGTTTCTGGTCTGACTGATCCAGGTAGTGGCCCACCTTCCCCATTCCCAGGTGTCCAGAGCCCCAGGTGAGTGCCTGTGCCCAAGCCACCTCCCTCCTCCTGCCCACACCTTCCACTGAGCCTCAGACCCACAGACTAACATCCATCAAGCTCTCCCAGCAGTGCAAATAGCTCTACTCCAGCTCGTTAAGTCACCTTTGTGCCAATACAACCACAATATTTTAGGGACACAAATAGTGGGGTAATATCGATTTTAAAATTTTGATCACTTACCTTCTATCCTCCTCCCCCCTTTAAAAGACAGTTTTCTGATTTTTCCTCTAGGAGAGTGCTCCTTTACCCACACTCCATCATGTGCTTCCTAGCAGAGTGGACTCTATCCCCAGATCCAGGGCTGGGACAAGGGGCAGTTTCCTAAGCCACTGCATCACTCTGGCTATCATGATGGCTCAAGTTCATGTGCTGTAAGGGGATATTTTGCCAGGGCTTCTGGGAAAGAGAAATTTTTTACCTTCTCTTTTCCCTGCTTGTAATACACAGAGAATGATAAAGTGTAGGGACATGCTGGCAGCTACCCTGGTACCAACCAGCCCGATTGCAGAGCCAAGGAGGTGGAGCCAAGAAATGGAAGGTGAGAAACCGAGTTCTGATCCCATTGTCTGAGGGCTGAATCAAGTTTTGTAGAAGTGGATCCATCTGACTGTCCAATGATGTGAACTTTCCCAGGTTAAAAAAAAACCGCTTGAGATCAGTTTTCCCACCTCTTGTAACTAAGAGTTTTAATACATAAGACCTCTCTTCTCAGTGATAGTGACTTAATGGGGGCTTCTTAAGGAACTCTCCAAATCATGTCACCAGTCACCAGGAATAGGGGAGGGTGTCTCAGCTTGAACCGCATCCATCGCAGGGACTGAGACAACCCAGCACACAGTCAACTGCCCTGTGTGTGTTTGCACAGGGCTGAACTGCATCTTAAGAAAGAAGTCTACCTGCGAGATGTGGAAACCAGGCACACAAGCATGGCCTAGGTCAGGGTGGGTGGGGATGATTCTGGGAATACACTGGGGTTGTCCCTAGTTCCCCATGTTGGAGCCTTCAGACAGAGGGACCTGCGTGTGTAAATGGAAATAATGCCTCACTACCAATTCTGTAAGAGTCCACAGTATGTTTAATGTCCTCTGTAGCCTTTGATACAGTTATAGGGACCAATCCTGACACTTCCAAGGTTAGAGAACAGGGGAGTAGTCGAAGGGGGGAGGGGACGTAGCAGCAGTGGAGGTGAGATCTTGTGGGAGCAACACTGTCTTTCAGGAGCGGCTCTGTTACTAGGTTGGGCTCAGCAGAACTGGCAGTTGTGCCGAGGGACCCAGCAGCACCAGCGGACCCAGGGCTGCCTGACAGAGGGAGGCCCGCGCGGAGCGGATGATAACTGGGCCTCTTCCGTGGGCGCGTGCGAGGTACCTCCCGGAGGCTCCGTGAGAAACTTGAGGTGGGGGTGCGGCGGGGAACGTGGAGGGAACTGAGGTCGTGCACGGGTAGAGGGGGCAAGAGCTTGCAAAATAAGTAACCGTTATGTATGCCCTGTAATAGCAGGTCAAACCACCCTGTGACTTCGCTCTCTTAGGCTGCTCATAGCACCACGCCGGCTTGTCTCTTGGCTTGCCTTCCCCGTATCCCTCCTTCTAAACCCTGCCCTCCCTGGGAGAAACGCTCCCTGCTGCAGTCACGCCTGCCCTCTGTCTTCTCGGATCTTTTGAGTACTCTTGCTCCTGATGATTTCCATGCTGTCTGTAATCTGCTTGCATGCATCTCCCCCGCTATACTCTGAACAACCCGAGCTCATATTTTATTACTCTGAACTGAGCATCATATAAATGTTTGTTAAATTACCAACTGTTTGCATATACGTGTGTGTGTGTGTGTGTGTGTGTGTGTGTGTTTCTAGCTCTGTCTCAGAAGTAGAAAACATTTAGAACCAGAATCTGGTGGAGCTGCCACCCCATTTCATTCGCAAGATTTTTGCAGGTTCAATATTGAGCTTTCCTGATTTCTGCTTTACTGGAAAAAAAAATCAGTTTCCCTTGTTATTTTTCTAGACAAGAGGGGATATGGCTAGAAATTGAGGGCATCTGACTAGGTTTTTTGATTCAGTGACCTTAATCTCCAATGCCAGAATTAATCTTTCTTTTGTGAAGACCACTTAGTTGAGAAAGGGTTAATACTTAGGCTACTTCACGAACAAATTGACTCATTCAGGAAGGGAAAAAAAAATTCTCGCAGAAAATTGGATGTCAGTGGATTATTCCCCTTCAGATCCATGGATTAGTGTGCGTGGGGAGGGCATCCAAGTGGAAAAAAATGTAATATCAGTGTATTTGAGGGCAGTGCCTGCTCCTCCCATCACCTCAATTACAGTCTCTTTATCATAGGCATCATATGATGCATGTCTTGCTGCCTACTTCACTTAAGCCTATTACAAAAAATTTTTTTATTGAATATTTGAGAGCTCTTTAGAATGAAGATACACTGGCATCAGCGTTGACTGAATCAGTGCTCTCATTTTTCTCTCTCCCCCGAACACTGGCAGTTCAAGAATTCTTTAAGATGAGGAGGACCTTAAAATATGATCCCTTACTTTACAGCCTTATCATAAAAAATAAATTTTATGTAGTGAAGATAAATGAGCTTGTAAACTATATAAACATGAATTTTTCTTTAAAAAAAAAGATTCACAATGTATGAGTCTCATTGAAAAAGATAAATATTAGGCTTAGTAAGCCAAAAGTGAAGTTACTGAATAATAAAAAAAGAAGATCTTTGAGGTATCAGTGCGCTTTCCCTTGATCATTTAAATAGCCCTGGATGCCTCATGGAGAACTTTGAAATGCACTCTTCATTACTAATGACAGTTTCATGGAAGCAGATACTTTTTATTTAACAGTCCCTCTCTCTCTCCTGCACGCTCTTCATCTTCCATCACAAAAGGTCGAGGACAAGTTTAAGTTTTCACAAGGTGACTAATAAAATAATAGGCCTGATGGATATTTCAGGACCATGGCTTTTTCCTCTCAGCTCGTGGACACAGAAGTCCTAGGGATATTGGCTGGAGGACATGTTTGCCGTAAGGAAATGGGTGGGGAGTCATTAACGCCTCCAAGAGGAGCCTCCGCTATTGATCTTTGGGATCCTGAACATTTCAATCAGAGTAAGATCTTGGTGTCATCTGGGTGTGTGAAAGCCACAGTCAGGGTGGCAGGTAGGACCCCGTGATGCCAGGCAAATGCTGGTCTGAAGAATGATGATGACACAAAAAGAAAATGGGACTTGCCTCTGGGGGTGATGAAGGAGAGGGTGTGGATGACCAAAGAGTAGGGCTCTTGGACGTTCGCTAGGTCTGGGCAGGAAATCTGTGACCTATTGCCTGAATAAAACGATTTTTTTCCGAAGATGCTTTTAATGTGCCAACTGTTCCCGTGTACACATATGAGCAGTTTCTCAGACTCCAGTGTCCTCTGAATCAAGGAAGTTCTCCGGGGAAAAGCTTCAGTGGCCATCAGATGTTGGCACCAGGTACACCTGCCAGCCCCGAGTGAGTGGCCAGCCCAATTTCTCACAAGGCATGCTGCCCTGTGGAAGAATGGCATGTTACCAGCTCCCTGGCATCTGAACAGGATCAGACATACATCTCACCAGCAAGAGGAGATGAAAGCGAAAATAAAGTGTGAGGAATCCGAAGGAAGTTGCAGAATGCGTGGCAGATGTTGTTAGATTTGTCTAGCGAAGCCCAGGTGCCAAGCATGTGATTGATGACATTAGCAAGAGAGGTTAATAGCCCTGGACGGCACTGCTTGGGATTTTTCAAAGTAAGCACAGAGCAAATGCTAAGGCCGCAGCAGGACTGGCCAAATGAAGCAAGTGGGACTTTCAAAACAAATAGCATGTCGTCTGCTTACGTAGCATCAATGGTTGAGGCAAAGGAGAAGCAAATAGTCAGTGGTCATTGTGATGGTTGGGGAGAGAAGGGTCCTCTGCTAGCTGACTCCCCTGAAGGTGGTAGGTTTTGAGTGACAGGCAGGTTACTATGAATTCTGCAGGAGGCAACGACATGCTTAGTTTACACCGTGAATATTTTGGCCTTAATTTATGCTGTGAGCAATGGCTGAGCCCAGGTTCATTATGTGCCCACTGAAGATGATTTATGTGGGTTTCATGCACTTGGACTTTAATTATTCACATGATTATCAATAAAAAATAAGGGCAGAACAGTGTTGAATGTGAACTGGTTGGCAGGGGCAAACAGCTGATCGCAGAGACTAAATTTAGACAAGGAGGGGAGAACACGGCCTTTTCCTTCACATCAGGTCTGAGAACGAATTCATAAGCAGAGTTTGCACTTTTCCTCCCTTTTTCACAAACATCCAAACTGCCAACCTGTTAATCAACTCCCTGATGGCAGACAAATGTCTCTGCGAAGCATGTGCCAAATATCAATTGTTATTGGCGGGAACTCAATAGGATGAAATAAATTGATGCTGCCATTCTATTGCACGCAATGCAATCGCTGATCGATAGTGAGTAATTGGACATCCCACTGTGACGAGGAGAATGCTGAAACAGGGATATGGCAATGAGTTATGGTGCATATTAATCACTGTCTAACCGTTTCATCAATGTAATTTCCTTCCAACAACCTGCTAAGGTAGCTAACTCTATGGGGAGGGAGACCCTCCCATTTTCCCCTGCAAGTATTAATGTGAAGGTTAAAACTGCATAACTCAAGAAATAGTTTCACACACTTGACTTGGTGTGTGTCTCACTATGTTGAGTTGCGACTCCACACAGCATATAGAGTGGGGTAAAAAAACGCTCTATGCCCCAGGGAGAAGAAAAACATGGGAATAAACTAAGCAACAGAAATTCATCTGGAATGTGGCTTTTCCCCAGAAGTAGCATTTGTTTTAGCTCTTACTCTCCTTCTCACACCTAAGAAATTGCCAAGAGACCAGCAGGAAGAGAAAAAAAATTTTTTTTCCTCCAAGAGTCAGGCCCTAGAAAAAGTTGAACTCATCTGAGGATAAAAAATG